GGCTGGGTTTGGTCACATGCTTTGACCTGCTAGCAGCCATATATTATATTGGCGATATGAAAGTTCAGTCCTTCATGTGGTTCAAATGTTGGGGGGGCACGCCGTTATCGCAGACAGAAGATTCATGCACTCACTTACTATGGTATGTCATTCCAATTCGCAAATGTTGGGGGTATTCCTGCACAAACGCATTGAAACATGGAATATTCTATGTGCTGAGCCGTTACTTTATCCATGCTACGGGAGTGAACCGATACGGCCGCGAGGATCTCTTACTTTGATCGAGACGTCCGGAGGCTGCTGCAGGTGAGAGATGTGTTCTTGGCACCCCTGAGCAGTGCAAAGAAGTGGGCATTGTATACCAGCCCAAACTCAAACTCGATCTGTGTTTGTGTTGGGAGCCTGAAGAAGAACATGAAGAGGAACCGTGAAGAGGATTCCGATCGCCTTTTTCTCGCAGTTGTTTGGTTGAAAGCAGGCCTTGTTAGTTGGATACCTATATTAATGGCCACCATCACAGGTTGTTAATTGGTTGTGTGTGTTTGATTGATGTGTTGGTCATACTTAGTTATTTTAGTTGAACTGTTGCAAGTAAATATTTGGACTGACTGGTTGATCTAGCATGATCTAGCTGTAATTCAAGAGATCCGGATTACTTGGAGCTTGTGGGTCACAAAACTATGAAGATGTCCATGACCTCACCTCACCACCTCACCTGTTCGCCCTCCCTCTCATGACCCCCGTTGATCCGTGCTTCCCCGGTGGACCTGGTCGGAGGTCCAAGAGGAGCTTCGAGGCCAAGAGGATCGAAATCGCTGGGATGTGCGGCACCTCGAGGAGCTGCAGCGGTACCGGGTACCTGGTGCGCGCCGCGCGGATCGGTACAAGAGGAGATGGATTGTTTAGGGAGGCCTGAGTTGGGAAGGGCACACATGGGGGCGAGGTGGGAGCATTAGACACATACACAGCACATTAAACCAGAAACACTGAACTTGTAAAGACCGAACACGGATAAAACATGGGACATGAAACAGGCTCCAAGAACCAGAAAACACATCCCTGGGGCAATTCGACTCCAATCACACTGACAACACCAAACAGCACCAAGCAAACATCGAGAGCTTGGACGTAGAACAGTTCTTGGAACAGCACCTAGCGCTGATGGTTTTTGCTTCAGTCTCCCAGCTCATGAGCGGGCTCGGAAGGAGTCGGATGGATTGATCCCCGATGGTGAAACGCTGAAGCGCAGCTTCCCATATAGGTCAGTTGGACCTCATTTGACTGGAGGTTGATGCAAAAACGCTGCTGAATGAGGTTGTCAGGGGCAGGTTTTACTGGGTCAGACTCTATACCTGTAGGGTTCCTTCAGCTGTTTTCAACGTGTGTTCAATGATTTCCTATTTTGTTCCTCTCACCAATGACCTTGAAAGCTTGTGTTAAACATGGCGCATCGCCATGTGGGTCAGGTGAGTCAGGTGCTTTTCTTTTTTGCAGCGGATGTGGATCGCAGGATGTGGCGAGTCCTTCGTCTCTTCGTTTGCCCTCGGAGCTTCGGGTTCACCACATTCGCGTGGTTCGCGCCGCTCGTCGCGTCGCAGGAGGACCAGCGTGCACTTTGGCACGATTTGGACCGATGCCGACAGCGCCGACGTCTCTACCCCTACGACACGGCCTGGACTTTGCACGAGCAGAATGTCTCGGAGAAGCTGCGGAGTCTGGCCAACTACAAGGAACAGTTGAGATGTGAAACGATGGGAGGAAGCATCCTTCTAGTGGCAGGGGACCAGTGGATCAGCTGTGTTTGTTGCTATCCTGACTTAGTCGTTGGAACCGGCAGCCCTGGCTGGCCGCGCCTCCCCTCCAGCTGGGAGTGTCTCACAGAGTGTATACGACGGAGTGTACTGTATTTTGACGCGACGCACAGGAGAGACTTCTGGGCCATGAAGACCGCTTGGTGCAGCAGCAGCAGCAGAACCAGCGGGACTTCTATGACTTAGAGCGACAACTCCTGGGTCTCCAGGACCAGCTGCCGAGCGTGTCGCGTCGTGCTGGAAGGCGTGTCGACTGCGCGGCAGCGTGGAAGGAGGCGATTTGGGAGGAGTTGAAAGGGGTTGTGTGTGACGTGTTTGTGTTCTTTTTTTTTGGACTTCAATGTGCCAAAGGATTTGATGTCTATAAAAGCCTTTGAAAAGACTGTTTTCTGAAAACAACGTGACTCTTGTGTGAGTTTTTTGTTGACTTGATGATGGTAGTCCTTACTTCAATGGTTAAAAGTGGTTGAGAGGCTGCTTGCTCAAACGAGTCTGTACCCTAAGGGTCCGATTAGGGAAGCCACAAGTATTCTGGATTTGTTTTTTTGGAATTGTTTACTATAACATATATACTATAATAAGCAACGCACGTACTATCACTTTCTTATGGATAGATGTTGTATCGATGTAGGTTGTAATGCAGCATAGTTTTGCTACGCAAACAAGCATGGACATTGAAAAGGAACAGGTACTGAGATATGAAGAGATTCTACTTGCTGTAGATATTAGTGTCTCCTCAACAGCCGAAGATCTATAGCGCAAGAAAACCCTCATCCCTGCACTATGACAGCATTTGGCTAAGCAACACATACGGTTGACGGGCACACGATCCAACATGCCCTTGGGCTTACACACGACTGGAGATAGAGCTTCCGTACGCTCCAAAAGTGGCGCATCGACCCCCACAACGATCTCCCAACACTCCATGTTCTCACCAACTGATCCTTTATGCATTGCACTGCAGGAGACCATGAACCGTTCTGCGGCCTCTGCTGCCGCGGTACAGGCCACTCCTTGCTGGGGATCACATGATGGTGGTCCCTATAAAGTATATAATTCTACGTTCATTTGGACAGTTCCAAGTACATGCTACAAGTTTTGATGGTTCATGGTTTGTTCTAAATTCTAAGTACAAACTTGTATTGCTGGCAGGATGGATTGAATCATTGTTGAATCACCCATCTTGTGGGACAAGTTCTGAGCATCTCCAATAAACCAGCTAAAGATTCTTCCCCACCTGCCAGGACCTCGCATGGAGCAGCCAACCAAGCCGAACACCCCTTCTCCCCCTCTACTCGCAGACCTTACCAACTCCCAGCCTTCCGAGCACACTCCGTGCCCAACCCACCCCACTTCCCCTCACCTCCGGATCTCGTGTCCGCACCGAGAGCCGCGACATGCGCACCCCAACCCACACACCGAAGAGCTCCACCTGGTCCTCTCCCGTCCGCCGCAGCCCTTCCACCCCCGTCTCCGTCCCCCGGCACCGCGCGCCGCCCCTCGCGCGCGCCGACGCGCCGCCGACCGCGCCGGACTCGCCGCCGCGGGCGCCGCCGCCGCTGCCGACGGCGAAGCCGGCGGAGTCGCTGAAGAGCCCGGCGGAGCGGAGGATGTTGGCCGCTTTGGAAGAGCATGGACTGGAAGAAGTCGAAATGGTAGGAGACGGGAACTGTCAATTCCGTGCCTGGGCTATATGATGAGTTAAGCTTTGACAATGTGTTCATTTCAGCCAGATTTGACAAGGTATACTTGCTTGGATGCAGGGGAGATTGGCAAATCACAAGGCAATCACCACAGAGTCTACGCATGGCACAGTCAAGTCATCAGCTAGACTGTCAATCATTATGTCAATCTGAGCTAATGGCCGGCTTAGGGTATACAACCCTTCCATCATTCCCCAACTCTCCCAGAAGGGGACGGATTCTACTCTAATTATCATTCCTTCTCTCCCATCATTCACCTGTTCTTGGAGAATCCGTTGCAAATCGAAAGGTGCTTTAGCTCACCAATGGTTCGGCAGTGAAGAGCATCACGCCTCGCTGCGTTGCTCGGCGTTCAGCGTTTTCGGCGATGCGTTCCGTGCTGCGTGGGTCGCGTCGGTCGGGTGCGCGTGGGGAGCGCGGAAGTCAGGCAGACCGGTGCACCATTCAAGCCTTCTACCCGTGAAGCAAAACAACATACAAGATCCATTAAATGGAACTAGATACCAGGTTCATCCGGGGTCGGTTTTGTGGAATGGCAGTTGAAACTTTAGGTCATGAAGATGCTAACCCCATTTTGCGGACCTTGAAACTCATCAGAGATCGAGCTTTGTTTCCCAAGCTGGGGGCGCACAGATTCGATGTGAGTGGAGGGTTTTGTCATATATTAACTTGTACTATGGGAGCCTTGCCGTTGGACCTTTGGCCGGGTGGGCGCAAGCTGTCTTTCTCGATGTGCTTGAGTGAGGACTCCCAGCAGTTCGGAACGACGTGAGATGTTCCGCTCGTTCGCCCGCGATGGGTTTGGGACTCAACCATGCATACTGCATGCGCAGAAGCTGAAGGGAGGTCCTTCTAATGGCTGATGAGATCAGCAGGCATTGAGGGAATCTTTATGGTGAATTATAGTGAATTGTGCATAAATCATCATTCCAAACCTCACCTTACCTGGGAATCCCTATATAGCCTACACATGCTTAGTTGGGGCCACTCCCTCATTCCCCTTCAAGCATTTGCCAGCTTCCTCTCCTTACTCCTTAAGATTCCAGTTCTTCACCTCATTCTCCTGTTGTTCTCTTGATTCTCCTTGACTGTCAGATGCTCTCTGAGGCACCGCAGTGGTTCAACAGTTGAAAGACTGGCCTGAGCGCTACAAAGTCTGGGAGACGGCCGAGTTCGACTACGAGTTTTGGGTCGATCGAAGCTTGGTTTACTCGGAATCCCCGTCCGAAACTAACTCGGCCCATCGGAGAAAAAGAAGAACTTGATTGGTTAATTGGATGATGGCCATGATGGCAATACCTTGCCGTAGCTTGAAGTTTTCCATTTTTGGTTGCACTGCAGAATATTGCAGAATGTTCACCATTTCCATAGCAGCAACGGCAACAACTCCAATCATAGTTATGGCAGTGGATAGTGGATCTCCATAATATCTGCACTCTCAACCACCACACACACTGCCTGCACACCAGCTGGGATCCTTTCAGGAATGGCCTTGGATGGCGTTGAATGGGGTACAGGCTTGACCTTGCGAGCAGCTGCAGATCTACTGGGCGCAGAGATACATGTCTTCGAAGATGACTTGAGTGAGGGGCAGATGTACATTCACTACGAGACTTGGCATTTGTTGAGGGGATAGGTACAGTGGAACTCGTGGACTTGTAGACTAGGTCGGAGGATGTTTCTATGTGCAAGCCTTTTGGAATTGTGTGTGTGCGTGTGTTTCGTTTAACATCCTTCGCTGAGTTGAGCGAAACTTGGAGAGGGAGTTGAATTCAGTTTGTTGACGAGACTGTGAGATTGAGTCGAATTCAGCTTCTTGTTGTCTGCTGTAGTTTGATGGATTAGTTCCCCTGCTAGACGAACCCGGATGAACCATTGCATTTTTGGCTCATGCATCTCACAGGAAAGATAGGAAAGGCCTGTGGTAAATTGTGACCTTGTAAGACAAGCCGGCAGAGGCAGCCAAGAGCGAAATCATGAAGGGAGACAAGCTTGGGAGACAAG